TTAAATAAGAAGGATATTTTTTTATTTTACAAATGATACATAGTTATAATTAAAAACAGCCCACAGAGATTATCTCCAAAGAAAAATAAATATAATCAGAGCAATAGCCTCCTCCTGTGAACAAAAAGGACACTCTACCCTATGATCAGGATTGAGGTGTGCCACGTGTCTGTAGCTATTGCTCCATGTATAATCCTCCAGTGAAGGTCACTAGCTCATTTATATATGGGCTGCTTATACAAGGATCACCAGCTGCCTGTCAGAGTAAAATCTGGACCAAAAACCCCAGCCCACCTCGACTCTTTAATCAGTGAATACAGGTTGAACACTTTAACACAGATCTGGTAGAGCTCCTTCTTCAGCAGTAAACTCACTTAAACTGGGTGTTGAAAAGACAAAAGCTGACCCTTCCCTCTCCTGCCAATCAACAACAACTGGATTAATGTTCAGAGATGGGAAGCTGTACTCACAGCCATCATCCCACAGGTCAGACAGAGTACTGTCCTCTACAATCTCTCTTAGGGGCTCAGGCAATGAGGCACAGACGTCCTCCACAGTACTATTTGACAGCCTGTTGGACCTGATGCTTACCATCTTACCCAGATCTCTGACAAATGAGTCATCTTTATCAGATGACCTGGTTTTACACAGCCTGCATGCCTCAAGCTGGATCACAGACTAGCAGACTGGAGAGTTTGACATTTCACAAAGGTAATGAAGAACAAAGACTCCATATAAATCCACATTCCTGGTGTACTCAAGAACCTGCCAAGCTTCCAGGACCAAAATATAGAAGGGTGACAAGCCCATCAGATCCACCAGCACAACCTGCAGCAGGAACAAGTGCTTGTCATTACTCAGCTGTCCAGCTCGCCTCAGCAACAACAGAGCAGTGTCCATCCAGCTGGCACCACAGCCATAGAGAACTCTCTGGGCAGTCTGTAGCCAGAATGATATTAGAAAGTTATTAGAAAACCAGAACTCTAACCCTATACAACAACTGTGCAAGTAACCATTTCCATTTAAACAAATTGGCACACGCATTCTCCTCTACACCTTCTCAATTTAATTTCCGATATTGGTCAGTTCCTAAAAACACCCCTAACGCCCTCATACCTTTCTTCCCTTACCCAAGACCCCCAGACAAACTAGGTGCTGTCCCTCTCTGCCATTCTCCCATGTGCACAACCTCACTCTTCTCCCAATTCACCCATGCAAAGGCTTTTAAAATAGCTCCAAACTCTCTACCATCTTAACATCTCCCTGTGTTTTTCTAAAATCATTAACATCATCAGTATAAACGGACAATGCCATGGTAGGTCTATATACATGACCTGGTAAAAAGAGTCCAGTGAGTTTGTCCCTTAATCTGCACAGCAATGGTTCCAAAGCTAAGGTGTACAGCTGCCCTGAAATGGGACAACCCTGGCTAATCTCCACTTTAACAGGGAATGGCTGACTTATCTTACATCCCACCCACTTCTTGGAGAATTTCAGAAAAATCTAATGGGTGTTATGCATAATGTAAAGTCTCTGCAATGGAGCTGAAACACTAAACATAGAATGTAAGTGTTAAATAAGACATTCGACACTTCTTGTCTGAAAGACAAATACTCAATCCCATTTCCAAGTTTCCTAGCTTTACCCAGATTTACTGTAAATATCAGGGTTTTCATTTAATGCGAGCTGCACAAATATTAACATAGTGCATATAAATATCTTGTAAGAGCTTCCAGATATCAAAATCAAGTGTCTCACAACCTTTCAGCTCATAAGCTGCTTACTGGTCTTTCCAGTTTTATCACTCATATAGTACCTCAGAGTACAAGATGGCAGTAAAAAACTGTATGAGGTGAGCTGCATTATCCAGTGTTATGCAGACTTTTACCTCTCTCATCTTTTAAAAAAAAATGTTTCTGACAGGTGTTGATTCAACTGTATGATAATATTGGAAGATGCCATTTTTGGTTTGGCTAAAAAAAATAAAAGATCTGCTGTAAAATTAAAATGTTCTGCTAAAGTCATTTAACTCTGGATTATTAAATATCACTGCATTGTCATAGTTTTGCACTGTTAATGATATTTTTCTGTAAGGCATCAGGTATAGTGGTAGAAAACTGAAAAGACGTTGTTGTAATATTGTTGCAATATGATTATTTTGAGTACATTTATTCCACAGCTAATTATCATATTGTTTAGTCTAGTCTGGACAGCCTTTTGAGAGAATCAGTCAAATGTTTTGGCCAGGGTGAATACAGTAAATGTATGTACAAGTGGCCTTGGAGCAGTTCATTTCATTTGGTCACTTTCTGTGTCTGTTAAAAAGACTGAAGAGAAGTGATCAAGAAACATATCACCACTAGCTGCACAAAGAAAACAGTCCAATCACTAAATGAACATCTGTGAAGTTGCATAAAAACAATGTACTTAGCCCTTTATACTGGACAAAGAAAACAGTCCAATCACTAAATGGACATCTGTGAAGTAGCATAAAAACAACGTACTTAACCCTTTATACTGATTAACTTATAGTGTAAATGACACATGATAAAATAAGCAATAACTACTTAAATATTATGTCCTTATTAGTTACTGTGTTTTTTTTCCCTCTCAAATAGCATCATGATGAGATGCTGCTAGAAGTGCACCACTGATTGATTTACAATTAGTTAGCATTTCTGTGTCCTCTAAAGCAACTCAGAGTGTAGATATATCCAACTGACAAACCGCTACTGAGATTTCATTGGGTTTTACTTGGAAAGTACCATTATTACTTAAAGTGACAGCAGAAATCATAAAACCCAATCATTTTAATCATAATGTCAGCACATTTCTACCTCATGGAGACGCCAACACCTGCACCATTGCTACCAGTTCATGTCCTCAGTAAAACCCAGACCTCCCACTATCACACAGACTGGTGCAGACTGGTGTAAATCATTTGTTTTTGTTTATATTGATTCATTTGTATTGAGCTCTAAGGGTTAGTTTTCATTGAAAGAAAAAACGTTCACAGCACAACCAGCAGTGACCTTTGGGTTAAATAATGATCCAGACTCCGCTGAACATCACAAAGACGTTAAAATGCTGGCAGCGAGTTGCAGCCTATCAGATTGCATAAATGCAGAACTGCAAAAGATAACGGGAGTATTTCTTACAGTATGCTATATTTAATTCTGGCAGTACATTTCCAAAAGTGCAAGTAAAACGAATTGCTGTCGGTCGGAGTGGAGATAAGGAGCTGGCGTTCTTTGTGTCAAAACAGGTCAATTAAACACACTTGAGCTGAACCACAAAGAGAGGAGTGTTTCCAGTGTATGCTCACCACAGACAGCAAAGCAGATGGTCTCTCTGCATTTCACACACATGCGGACAGAGAAAGGAAAAGAGAAAGGAGAGTGTAGCCAAAGCGAACAAAAGCCCCGAGAGAGTGGAAGCTAGAGTCACAGATTAAATATTTAAACACATATCGTTATATTCACTCAAATGAACGCCCTGGTTGTGTGACCCATTTGTGAGTTATGCCTGCTTCTGTCCGTGGTGCTAAAAACGCGCAACCCTCAGCAGATCAACCCATCTGGAACTGAACCGGGACACGTTTTGTGGCACCAGTACAACTCTGATTTTACGGCTTATGTAACTTAATTGCATTTAATATGGGGGGCACGAGAACTTGAATTCCACTAGAGAAGTGCGAGACTAAAATGAAATTCGTGTTTGCACACCCTGAACACGGCTTTGACACGGCTCCCAAACCTCGTCTGCGCTCTGATGTGAACACAAAAAACAGAACATACCCTACTGAAAAATCAATGACACGGTTAGTGAGTACCGGAGAGAGAGAGAGACTGAGAGACAGAGAGCGAGAGGGAGAGAGAGAGAGACGGGGGGGATTGAGAGAGAGAGAGAGAGAGAGAGAGAGAGAGAGAGAGAGAGAGAGAGAGAGAGAGAGAGAGAGAGACGAAGAAAGAGATACAGAGAGAGAGGGGGCGAGAGAGAGGGAGACAGAGAGCGAGAGGGAGAGAGGGGAGAGAGAGGGAGAGAGGCGGTGTCTTGTGACCGAGGAGGAGGAGAAAGCTCCCGGTCCACTCGTCCTCGCAGTTTCCTTTTGCAGTCAGTCCTACAAGCAGTCGGGTGCTACCGGTGTGCCCGGGACCGTGGACTTATTTTACCCCGGGAATCGGAATCGGACACCAACAAACTATCCCAGGTACGGTAAGTAGCCTAAAAGCACCGTTTGGCGTGCTTTGTCAAAAAGAGCTATAAATTAGAAAGGAAAGTCAACACTCGCCTATTTGTGGACTTTGGTGATGCCGGTGCTGGTTGGAGGAGAAAGCGGATGAAAATCAAGACAAAGCTCCGTGAGGTCGGTTATTGTGTTGAGGCTACTGCTTTTCAAATTGGCGGAGGGGAAGCTGGGGAGCTAATCGTTCCGCGGTGCCCCATCTGCCGCGGTGACAACTCTTCAGTATTTGTAATCCGATTACAGAAAAGATCAGCAATTTGATAAAAATGACCACTCTCCGCGCAGGGAGTTCATTTTTCCGCTTCATCGTGTTCTGTTGTGACATTCTGATCCATTCTGCGTCACAACAGAATAGAATAGAGTTCTGGGTTCTGTAAAGTGCTGCATCTCACTTCTTCTGACACTTTGCAGCACCCCCCCTCTCTGCTCGGCGTCTGTTTTCTCACTCAGTGGCTCTCCCCGTCTTACACCCCTCTGCTTTTCTGCTCTTCTCTCTGCTTTCAGAAGATGTTCTTCTTTCTGCTACCTGTCGTGGCTCTCTTGCTGAGCAGAGAAACAGCCGTCTCCGGTAACAGTAACGACAAATGGCTGAGCACCGGGGCTCAGTACAACAAGGACAGATCCTGGAACAGATTCAGAGATGTGAGTTGCACTGGCAGATATAACATCTAGCCAAAGGGGCAATTATAATTAGCCTTATTGTTTGTGCGGGTGTACAGTATATGTGTGTGTGTGTGTGAGAGAGAGGGACAGAGAGAGAGAGAGAGAGTGTGTAGCCTATATGAGAAAGACAGAGGGGGAGAGGGAGCACTGCGCCCTTGATGCAACCCGTGAGTACTTGAGCGCTTACCAGCAGGTATAATCCGCCCTGTAGACACTCAACAGCTTCAAACCTGGGTGAAAGAGAATCAGACTGATAGACAGATAACATTATACCCCTGCACATGATGGAAAAGGTCTTTATTGCTGGTGATCTGCTTAACTTTGTTGGCATTAAAATACACTATTATATCAACCCATTTTGAAGAAGCCATACAACAGTATGCTTTTATCATTGATAAGCAATTGTCTGTTTCAGTCAGGATTAGAAGACAGCCAGTTTGAGGCTCAGTGTGCGCACTTATCAGTCAGGTGGCATTTCATAACATACAGAATAAGTATGTTTATATTTGTGATTTTTTTTCCCCTGAACAACAACATACAGTATGTGTAAAGTGTCTAGTCTGTAGGACATACTGTAGAGGTGTGTGTGTTTGTGTGTGTGTTTCAGGTGCATCTTTCTAATTCCGTTATTGAGACTCATCAAGGCTTTTTCTTCAGGAATATCACACATAATGATGTTGTTTTCTCAGAAGCAGCCCTGTTAGCCTTGTCTACCTGGGTCATCTGAGATTTGGGTCGAGGCTTGAAACCATGGTTGCTTTGTATAAAACACAGAATGGTCTTAAGTGACTCAAGAAGGACCTAATGCATACAGTAGGTGCTACATGTAGTATAAAGATGATGAAAGTCACTTTGATGTGTAAGTGTGATTCTCAAGTGTTAACTGCAGTGACACCAGTCTAATTAATGTAAAATCAGAACTAACGCACGGATTCATTTAGTTTCTGTGCAGTCACATTCAAACCCACACACATTTATTTTCTAGTTGAAAAGTCCACGTTTTTAAACATACAGAGGCTGAATTGTATTAGAAAGGCATATAAAATAATGCTCAGCGCATCTGAACTATTCCCATTTAGTGGAATGGTGCAGCCATAAAATCATGAAGTGTTGGGCCTGAATATTTCACTCAGTGTAACCATCATATAGTTGCAACGAAGAGCTGGGACGGAATATATGCAGTGCTGCCAGATACTTTAATGTGATTTGAACAGTCTTAACAACTGATTAATGGGAAATTAAAGGGGTGTGTTGTGTCTTCATAAAATCCGTGTCATGAACTTAATGACTTTCCTGTGCTGTGCTATTGGGATAGACTCTGTACCTCTTTTAAACTGTGTGCGATCAAACATTCTCTTGCTGTTGAAGCTGTAAACTGAGACCAAATCTCATTCTTTAAAGACTTAGATGAAGTTTGTGTTTGTTGTGTTGAGTATTTTGAAGACCAGAATCTTACTCCAAGCCCTGCTTATGGCCTCAACAACTAAGCAACGCAGAGCTAACATTTTCCAGTCTAACAAGTTGTCATCAGGCTGATGGTGATAGCAACGTAACCACCTGCCTTCTATTTGATGCCATACTTTTAATATTAGGATGTCCTTTGCTGCATTCTAACATGTCCTCCAGAGATTTTGGCAAACAGTGGGCCAACTCTGGCCTTATTAGAGCTGCCCTTCCACATACATAGAGTCATGATGTGAAGCTAGTATTAGTCATGTCTGTATAAACTCAGCTGGGTATCTAGTACCTGCAGTGTGTGTGTGTGTGTGTGTGCACGCGCATGTGCTGCCCACTCTTTATTTCTCCCTGTGGTCTCTTGTGCAAATGAAACTCATTAACAGGGAGCTGTCAGTGGAGGGAGGAGGACAGGAGCAGAGATGAGGGAGGGGAAGGAGCACAGAGGTGGCACAGTGAACAGGAGAAAGGCTGTGACATTTATGTTTAATATTTCAAGCAATGTTACAAACCAAATACAGAAGCTGCTGCTGTGTTTGTCTGTGCGTGTGTCTGCCCTGTCACATAAGAAAACCTGCTGGTTGTAATTAGTCTCCTGCAGCATTGGCTGTGTTTCCTCCCATGGCGTCTTCTTTCCTCCTTCATTCTTTCTTAGTTTCTGTCCTCCCCTCTCTGCCCCCAAACATTTTAATATCATAGACAGCAAGACATTAGATTAAGAAGGAATTGTTCTGTAAGAATCAGTTTCAAGCTATAAAACAAACATTTTTGCAACTTAAATGTGATGATTGACAAAAGACTGATATCGGGGTACTGTACTTTTGATCATGATGTTTTTAAAGACCCCTTTAATTTGAATGCTTTTTGTGCCTTATGAAAAATCTATCTATCTATCTATCTATCTATCTATCTATCTATCTATCCAGACTTTTACACTAGCTGTGTATCTGTCACTCAATCAATCCCATGGCCCTATCAGTTCCCTGTCATGAACGCCACATCTTTCTTCCATGCTTCTCCCTTTCTGTCATTTTCCTCCTTTGTCCCTGGAGCTGTGAATGACCCTGTGCTTCCTCAACCGTAACCCCTCTCTGTCTTCTCCTCCCTCTCCCTCTGCCCTCACCCGTGACTCCTCCTCTCCGCTGTTCTCAGCTGCCATGTTTCACTCTGGGTCCCCGTTGATGAGCCACTTGCTCCCTCCTGCATAATGTATGAGTGTCCATTTGTTGGCAGGGGAGCTGGTGCAAGAATTTAACAGTCAAAGTTCAGGAAGCTTATCTTGGAAACATAAGGAGAATGGGATTTGATTTATATTTCTGCCTAGTCATATTCCTAATAACTGCACGATAATCTGCTGAAAGGTACGTTAATTCTGTTTCATCAAGAAATTTAATTCATGTGTTGTCAGTTCAAAAATATTTTTTCTTCAATCTATACAGAGCCTGTATCTTTGTCAGTTGGGTGTATGCTTGGTTCGTAGAGACAAAGAGACACATTTGTGGAATAAATGACACATCATATTGGCTTCAAACTGAAGTGTGTGGACAGGCCTGCTGGGTGAGCCGCTGTAATCTAAATCTTCACACACCAGCCACTATTGTGTAAATGTCTGGCTTTGGTCTAAAACATTATGATTAGTTGTGGCAACATGTCTTCTTCGTTTTTCTAGTGCAGTCAGCGCCTTTGTATTCATTATTCTAGATGGATGGTTACAGAATTTCCAAATGTTTATGACCAATTTCACTGTTTCTTAATCCTTAAATTTTCTAAACCACATTTGTTGCTCCTTACCAGACACTTATTTATGCTAACAATATGGCAGTTTTCCTTAGGTTACAGTCACCACTTTGTTTTTTTATGAGCTTTTATGCAGAGTAAGGTATAGCTGCAGTGAATATGCACACATTTGTACTGTATGCAGCACTGATTTCAACCATGGTTCTGATTCAAGCACAGTCAGCTTTTTGTAAGCCTGCTGCTGCCTTGTGTGGTTGGTTACATCAAGGTTTTCTGGTCAGGATAATAGTGAATATGATGGGTCCAGCTGGAACTGGGAGCAGTGTTAACATACAGTATATAATCTTAATAGCCAAACTTGGTTAACAGTAGCACAGGGTTGAATCCATGGAGCATGAATGTGTGACCACAGTGGTTTCTACACTGTCTCTTTTTGGGTGCTAGTAGCACACTTGCTCCTCAGATGGTAGACATTCAGGCTCTCCAGCTCTTTTCAGACAGGAATGCAGCCAGTATATTTGGAAGATGAGTGAATCTGAGGATGCTTTCCTAATGTTTATTTAATGGACACAGTTCAAGTGGTCCTTCATAATCTTTAAACGATATGGCTACTTCTCCTCGTTCACTGTGTGTGTCAAAACCACAAACCTCAATCTTATATGCCCTCTGTAAAGAACAGAAGAAAGGCAAAATCATGTAGTAATATAACGCCATTATTCACAGCTTGGATAACAACAGTTTGAAAGGCTTCTTGTGTAATGACTTTTTACACAGTAGTGAAGTTTATCAGCTAATAAATACTGTATTATTGTCTGTGGGTTGCTGAGCTGGCTGGTTCTGCTGTTCTGGCCTGAGCAAGCCTATTATTGGTAGATTTATGTTGGGCTAGGAAATTATTGGGTATTTTGTATTGAGGTAGATATATGGTAAGCATTAGTGTCAGAGAGTCACTTTACAACAGAAGTTCAATCAAAGCTCAGAGTGTGTGTGAGCTGATCATCATGGCTGCTGCAGAGGTCAGGAGGAGCCTGCCAAACTCCTTTGGCGTATGGTGGCACTGATTACACTCCATCAAGTCATCTTTTCCAGAATCATTCCTCCTTTGGTACTGTCTGTAGTAATCGGAATTACAGACTATCAAGTATAGGAAGTTGGTGCCAAATGCCTGGTCAGATTTCAAGGAGAGTGTCCTGTATGTATAGTGTCCTATATGTTGTTTGTGCTGTGATGGACTGGTGGCCTGTCCAGAGTGGTTTTTGGCAGGTTTTTATGACCAAACATAACGTGTTATAGTTTGGCGACCTCTAGAGACTGTAGTAATCATGACATGAGCAAAGTAAGAAGTTAGGAGATGTAGTATATAAATGCAGAAAGCCCGCATCATAAACAGCGTGTTTATGATGGTTTCCATACCGATAGAGCTCTGGTGCACTTGCTGTCATGATTATGGCTGTTTTCTTGATGACAGAGTTTGTAAATCTTGCCAATGCAACATATGTAGTCGTTAATGTGGCAGTGTTATTGATCCGCCTGCCAACATAGGAGCAGATTCAAGGGACTTTTGTTGTGTGTACTTATGTTTCCTGTCTGTCTCTGTGCAGTTAGCTGTCAAATATAAGCAAAGCAGAAAAAAATAATTAATTGAACATTTGTTTAATTTACAGTAACATATGTTAAATGTTTGAAGAGAAAAGGCATTGTAGAAAAACATCTTACCAAAAGAAAGTGTGTTTTGGTATCTATACCAACATTTCCTAACCTCCTCAGTCCTCTCCTGTGACTCTTGT